CTTTTTTCAGTTAAGTTTTTGACTTATAATCGTCGGTCAATATGAAAATTGAATTCTTAAAATTTATTTTACAATTTTAATAAAAAAAGAGTAGTAAACGTAAAAAACTCAGTATTAAAATAGCACATAAAAAACACAAAAAAGAGAGGAAAGCAATATTCATAAAATCTGTATTTTTGTTATTAAGATAGATATTACAATTATTGTATAATTAACAAAAATGCTCAACATGACATGGTAATATAACCAGTGTCATATTTTTACTAAGTGTGAACAGATACCTTAAGAGGGGGTCTTCGCTAATAGCGATTACATAATAAGGGGCAATTCCACAGGTGTGGTGTTGATCATGCGTTACACATATGGATTATAAATGATTGTATACATGTATATCCGTTGCTATTAATAATCACGATCATAAAGAAATAACAAGTAATATTCTAATCTCTAGCATGCCATTCAAAGTTCATAATGAACAATGTCTTCCGTCCGTTCATTTTGGTAAAAACCAATTAAGCATTGAAAAGTTTATAAGAATATCATAACATCATATGTCTACTAGTTCATCTTCACTTTCTGCATTTCTTGCTTGGACGCCCTTTGATGCTTTGCATCAATGCTTTTCTTGTCTTACTTAAAATAAAATAAGGATATGTTAAACAAGTGTATGTCTTAATTTGTTTCTCTACAAACAAGGTGCTCTAAGTCATGTTTAGTCTCATGATCGGCAATCCACACTCAAATAATTTGTTATCTACCAGTTCTAACTTCTAATCTAAACCACTTTGATGACTGCATAAACTGCATAAGACCGTGCTTGTACGTTACTTGGTGCTAGGTGGATGATTATATGTTAACTTAGAGTATATATGCTGCTTTATATGGTACAAGGTGGGTGAGATACGTTAACAAAGGCTGAATATGCTGCTTAAGACGGTACTAGGTGGGTGAAATATTTAAACAAAGACTGAATATGCTGCTTAAAACGGTGCTAGGTGGGTGAGATATGTTAACACAGACTGAATATGCTGCTTAAGACTGTGCTAGGTGGGTGAGATATGTTAACAAAGACTGAATACGCTGCTTAAGACCGTGCTAGGTGGGTGAGATATGTTAAAAAAGGCTGATTATACTGCTTTAGACAGTGCTAGGCCGGTCATATATTTAAACAAAGACTGAATTTGCTGCTTCAGAATGTGCTAGGTGGGTGAGATATGTTAACAAATACTGAATACACTGCTAAGATGTTATGTTATATGTGGATGTGACATTTTAACAACGACTGAATATACTGCTTTAGGCGGTGCTAGAGGATTGAAATAATAATGTTAACATAGACTCAATATACTGATTTAGATGGTGCTATGTGTGCGAGAGCTGAGAGCTTCTTTCGGGTAAAATTTGGAGTAGACTGGCATATATTGTATTACCCAAACTGCACGCGTTAACATATTTCAAAATTAAGTAAAATGAAATAGCTAAAATCTTGCCATCATCCATACATTATAACATAAAAGAACACTAATTTTGTTGAAAGTAGTTATGGGAAAACGATTTATCTTTGTCCAAACCTTCAGAAATTATCTAACCAAGTTAGCCCTACGATAATACGAGAAAAAACAGGATAATGTTTATTTACAAGAGCTTGACATTCTATCAATAATCGAAAAATATAAGCAAATAAGAGGATATTTGTTCGTTTCAGTGAAATATGGAATATATATGTTCATGAAACATCATAAAATGCCACATAAATGTTTGACGTTTCACTCCCAAGACGTTTCACTATTGAGACATTTCACTCCCAAGACGGTTCACACCGAGACGTTTCACTCACGATTTGTAATTTGTAATTGTATAGACGTGTCACTCCCATTCTTTTAAAATGTTATTAGGAAAATTTGATGAGAGGTTGAAATGAAAGACACATTTCTGAAATTTTATTTTTTCAACTGCATGAGAAAATTCTATGTATAATAAATTAAGAAATATAATAGAATATTATAACATAAATTAAAAATGAAAATTTTCATGAACAACAAAGACATATTATAGGTATCAATTTGAGTATCAAAATCACTACCAGTACAGTTATAAGTTTTTCTATAGAAAAAAAATGTATCGCTAATCTGATTTAACAAAGAAATGATGAAATTTACTATAAAGTGTTCCAGTTACCAAAGAAAACATGGGGCTTGATTTGACAAAGAAATTTACATAGTTCCTGTTTTCATTTTATTAATAAATTATTAATAAAATATTATGTAAATGATTGTTGTTTCAATTGACAATTAATTGAAAAGAAAAATAATTAAACTTAAAAGAAAAATATGACATATGTATGTTTTTCTGTATTTAATAAGTAAATAAATGTTTCTATAAGACCTCAACTACTTAATACAATATTACTTGCACTTACAGCATACAAGTTTCCCTATATACATTCTTCATTGACAAATGTTTTTGTTGTGATAAAGGTTGGTTATATACCACAGAACACATAATTATTATAAAGGAATATTATTATATACTTTATTTTAAGATAAGCTATGCTTATCCTTAAGAATAATATTTTTATTAGCAGTTTCATAAAAGAAAGTCACTTGGAAAATTATAATAATGTCAATATTTTGATATCAGTTACTTTTATTAAAATAATAATTCTTAAAGTAATAAAAAATCAAATATTATATACATTTGTATATTTATAATTTTTTGTAAGTTTAAAACTATGAAATGCAAAAAATGTGTATGAAATTAATTATTATTTTAAATTATTGCTTTATCAGTAAACAGTAGCCATTAAACAAATATTATTGCGGTGCCAACAGTAATCCGTCACCCTACATGTAGTTGTATAAACACCGAGACTATCAACTAACAGTTTGACATCACTTTTATACATCAGTTGTTAGCATTAACAGTTTACTAATCAGTTGTTTATTGAACCATTTAAATTATTTTCAGACAACAACCACATATAACAAATGTCTTGGAAACAGAAACTTCTCCAAAAGTTTTGTTTTAAATATATAACAAAGGTGAAATAATATCTAATCAGGTAAGATATAAATAAATTATGTAAAATGATTTGCAAAGATTTCTCCAATCAAATAAAATAACTAAACTTACACAACTTGTAGTACTGAGATGCCCTTTAAGTATTTTAATTCATTTTTTTTATTAAATTTAAGTTAAATTTTACTATATCACAAGTATCAGAATAATTTTGGTATAAAAAGGAAGTTAAACGTCTTGAAATCATTGGTAGTGAACCGTCTTGGTGTGAACCGTTCTAATAGTGAAACGTCTGTCTACCGGGGCGCGCGACCCAGTACTTGTGACATTACTCGCTAGTCGCTACCAGAAACATATCGTGGTGAACGGTGAAACAAAACTACAGATTCTTGAAAATTTCCAGTCTTCAAAATAAGCGCCAGCCCGATGCCACTAAATTTTGCATCAGTCCGCTGATTATTGCAAGGTTGTTGGTCCAATGGGCCAGCAGTTTTTTTTTTGCCATGAAAAGGTACCGTCGAGGAAATTTTCATCAAGAAAATGGGGCAGGGCCGGTTCTCATAAAATCAATCTGTCTGCTTATTTTGGCAAATAAAACCAATCAATTTCAGTCCTAAATGTTCAAAACACTGCAAGAGAGAGGGCTAATATTGTATTCAGTAATGGAGGTCGCCCATTCTTTCTTGGATATTTTGCCGTACCGCACCGTACAGTTAAAGGAACTCCATTGAGCTTTATAAGCCAAAAAACATTTAATTTTAATTTTTCATATAGATAAACAAGAACACTTAAAAACAGAAATATAATAAATATAGTCAAGACATATACAAGATTGAAGAAATACATTGAAAATCATATATAAATTTGTGCTATTCTCAGTCCGATTTGATTGAAAAGCGTTTTTGCACATAAGTTATTAGTATAGATCTACATCAAATGGAGTAATAATCTCAAAAAATTATTTCCAGTCCCGTCATGTCAAAAAACCTCAGTGGAGTCCCTTTAAGGAAATTACACCATTATTTAACTATCATGATTTTGTTATTATTAATTAAAGTAAGATATTTTGTGTATAAATGGTTTGTGTGTAGCAAACTGTGTCATGTATTACTAATGCACTAGTGTTAAATAAATTATTTAGCATTATTACCTGATACCTTATATAAATGTAATTTGTTATTATTTACTGTTTTCTGAAATTCTAAAAACGTCAACATTCGCGAACTATTGACCGGTCAATAGTTTCGACTGTTTCCCTCTCGTGCTCCTCTATGACGTCATTGACGTCATAGAGGATTCCCACTTGAAGCGTCCATCGATCTTGATCATGAACCAGACGTGACGTGACATAGTTAAGATATTTATTTTAATTATTAACATATATGTGCAAAACAATTTGTTGTTCCTTTTTTCTTCTGCAAATAGTGTTAAAACAGTAGTTGATCAGGTAATAAAACAGTTAAGCCCTTCCACCTCGGGCCAACAGTTTGACTGTTCCCAAATCACATATGAAATAACTGTATACTATTGTTAAATAAATTATTTACAAATAAATTATAATAGTAAATTTAAGTGACAAAAACATATATATGACCTAGTATGCTTACAAAATTATGTAAGAACTTCTTTTAATAAAACATGTAATGTTTTATTAAATATAATAATCATGCATTTTCATAATTCTAAATATCTTTTATAGAATCAAAATAATGTCTTAAAGCTTTGATTTTGTTTTCTTTTGCTTACAATACAAATTTGTCTTCAAAATGTAGAGAGGAAGAACTCATGAAGCTTTACATCAAAAATGAGTAAGTTCATATTCGTTTCCACATTCATTGTTGATCTATAAATAGTAAACTAAGACACGTCTGCCTAAACATAAGGTCTTTAAAGAATTTTCAAAGCTGTCAATATATGGCCTAGAATACAAGAAGTAATATGCTTCTTTCAAAATTATCAAGGGAAGCATGATTAAGTGGTTTCCTTTACCCATCAATTTATTACTTCTCTACGTATTTGGTCCAGCTAAAGATGACCAGGTCTTGTAAGATTTAAAATTTTACTGGGCCGAATGTCCTGTGATTTTTAAAGTTTTTTGTGAAAACTGTGAAAACATCGATAAAGCTTCGACTAGATGTAGATCTGGATCACAAGGCGCTTGACGAGAAAGCACACAATTCCATAAAAATAAAGGGCCCCGTGATTTTGTAAGACACAATACACAAATTGGCATATACATAGTAATATCACCCGCACTGTAGGTGATATATTTGGATGAAATCGCAGGGACATGAAGAGGTAGTTTCTTAAAATTTGCTACCGTGTCCAAATGTGTTTATGTTTTTGTTACTTTTGAAAAACACACTAACAAATGACTTAAAATTTAATGCTGACCATATAATCTTTATTACTTTTTATGTTTGTGCAATTAAAAAATAAAATAAATTAAGTTTAAAGCATTGTTTCTTTTCCAGGTTTCGAGCCCAATAAATTGAATTGAGATTATGAATGAAATTACATGTTTATGTGATCAATTACGTTACATAAAAAATATTACATAAAAAATATGTTACAAGTTACACAAATTCTATATGCATTTTTTCATCTGGAAATTATTTCATACATGTATTTATTTTTATATATTAATATATCGACCTTTGTCCTCAGGTAATCTTAAACAGTGATAACATGGCATCTTCCTACGACAATTCCTCGGAGGAACAAACAGAACTACGCAGACTTCACATTAAACTTATCTCTGAAATTAACGATAATTTAGATCAAAAAAGCATAGAGTATGAAAAATTATTTTTTTATTTCGGAACTTATGTGCCTCCAGGATTAATTGCCAATAAATCAAGTCTAGATAAATTTAAAACTTTATGCACCAGAAACATCATTACACCAGGAGAAAATTATGAAAAATTGAAACAGATATGTCGAGACAGTGGAAATGATACTCATGTAAATACAATAGAAAAATATGAAAAGGAAATGGAAAAAGTTCGAACTCGACATAGATATACAGGTATGTACAAATAGAAATTCAAGTTTATCTGAAAGAAAAAAAAAACCTTTTTATTTGTTGTACATGTATACATGTAGATATTATATTAATGTAATTGCATACTACATCACCCTTTTGAACCAGTTACTAAATGATTACAAAAGCAGTCAAAGATATGAATGGTATTTTAAAGATTACTACTAGGGTATATATTTTTGATCTATAATTTTGTTCAAGAGAGGATCTTCTAAATTACTAGTACTTGTATTCATTAACTGAAATATTACTTTAGAACGTTTTATCATAATGTTTTTATTCAGTTTGGAATTTAATACATGGAGATATCAATTTTGAGTGCATTTTTAAAGAATTATGCATGGTTTGCATTCAAATGCACAGGAGCATAATCACGCAGACCGATACAGTTTTGAACAATAATCCATGCATAATGATAATATAGAACAAATAATATGTATTTCTATTCTAATACATTTAATAAAGGAATTGATAAGAATATGGAAAAATTATATTGAGCGTAATGATATTCTCACTGACGTCATTTAGTTCATTGACGTCATATATGACATCACATAACATGAAAGCATTTGTTTTTAATGTTGTTTATAAAATTATGTAATGTGTTATAATGCACTTGATTGTCCTGATTGAAAGGAAAATAGTGCGAAGCGTGTTAGAATTAGATAAGTATGTTTACTGTTTTCTATTCATGGTCAATTCCTAGGCACCAAAACTCAAAACCGGTGATATTTAGCCTATAAACCTTAAGGCACCAAAACTCAAAACCGGTGATATTTAGCCTATAAACCTTAAGGCACCAAAACTCAAAACCGGTGATATTTAGCCTATCAACACAGCTCAGACATATTATATCTTAAATAACACAAACTTTCGGTCCTTCTATATTCAAATGGAAACTGAAACTTTCGGTCCTTCTATATTCAAATGAAAACTGAAACTTTTGGTCCTTCTTTATTCAAATGGAAACTGAAACTTTCGGTCCTTCTATATTTAAAAGGAAAATTGAGGGTCGTATATATTCAGATATTTCTGTGAATCATGTCGCTTATTGGAGATACACTTGACTATACAACTGAAAGTAATTATGGCAAACACTGAAGAGTTGTACTTTTTGTAGATTTTAAGATATTGCTAAAGAGCTATAAGAACTGAGGTATTGTTACAGTTATGTCGGCGTTATTGTTGTTGTTGCCGTTGCCATTCCAAACTTGTACTTTTGATCATATTTTCACGAAGTGGTCAAGGTGAGGTATAATGATGGGGCTATGTCCTGCGTCCGTCGTCCTGCGTCATTCATCGTCAACAATTGGGTTGTTAACAGTCTAGCAGTCACAGTTTTGATTGGATCATCATCAAACTTTGTCAGAATGTTTGTCTCAATGAAATACAGATCGAGTTCGAAGATGGGTTATCTTGGGTCAAAACCTAGGTTACAGGAGCTAAAAATAGAAAAAGCTTATTAACACTCTAGAGGCTGCAGTTTTCATCCAAATATTCTTGAAATTTGTCAGGAAGGTTGTTTTAATGATATCTAGGTCAAGTTCGAAGATGGGTCATCTCCGGTCAAAAACTAGGTCACAGGAGCTAAAAATAGAAAAAGCTTGTTAACACTCTAGTGGTTTCAGTTTTCATCCAAATATTCTGGAAATTTGTCAGGAATGTTTTTTTGATGATATCTAGGTCAAGATCGAAGATGGGTTATCTCCGGTCAAAAACTAGGTCACAGGAGCTAAAAATAGAAAAAGCTTGTTAACACTCTAGTGGTTTCAGTTTTCATCCAAATATTCTGGAAATTTGTCAGGAAGGTTGTTTTGATGATATCTAGGTCAAGTTCGAAGATGGGTCATCTCCGGTCAAAAACTAGGTCACAAGAGCTAAAAATAGAAAAAGCTTGTTAACACTCTAGGGGCTGCAGTTTTCATCCAAATATTCTGGAAATTGGTCAGGAAAGTTGTTTTTATGATTTCTAGGTCAAGTTCGAAGATGGGTCATCTCCGGTCAAAAACTAGGTCACAGGAGCTAAAAATAGAAAATGCTTGTTAACACTCTAGTGGCTGCAGTTTTCATCCAAATATTCTGGAAATTGGTCAGGAAAGTTGTTTTGATGTTTTTCAGGTCAAGTTCGAAGATGGGTCATCTCCGGTCAAAAACTAGGTCACAGGAGCTAAAAATAGAAAAAGCTTTTTAACACTCTAGAGGCTGCAGTTTTCATCCAAATATTCTTGAAATGTGTCAGGAAGGTTGTTTTAATGATTTCTAGGTCAAGTTCGAAGATGGGTCATCTCCAGTCAAAAACTAGGCCACAGGAGCTAAAAATAGAAAAAGCTTGTTAACACTCTAATGGCTGCAGTTTTCATCCAAATATTCTGGAAATTTGTCAGGAAGGTTGTTTTGATGATATCTAGGTCAAGATCGAAGATGGGTTATCTCCGGTCAAAAACTAGGTCACAGGAGCTAAAAATAGAAAAGGCTTGTTAACACTCTAGTGGCTGCAGTTTTGATTCAAATATTCTGGAATTTTGTCAGGAAGGTTGTTTTGATGATTTCTGGGTCAAGTGCTAAGATTGGTCATGTCCGGTCAAAAACTAGGTCACAGGAGCTAAAAAAAAGAAAAATGTTTTAAACACTCTAGTGGCTGCAGTTTTGATCTAAAGTTCCTGAAAATTGGTCAGGAAGGTTGTTTTGATGATTTCTAGGTCAAGTTTGAATATGGGTCGTGTCCGGTCATCAAACTTGGCCATGATGCTTGTTTAAGACATTGCTTGGATGCGGTTGTGTCAGGTGAGCGATCCAGGGCCATCATGGCCCTTTTGTTTAAGTTTTTCGTGTATTGTTTTCACACTTGGCCAAGACAACTCTTAGACAAAACTTTTAAATAGACCAGACTAACCTTGACCTTTATTCATAAATAAAAGAAAAAACAAAGAAAAAATTTGCCAGTGCTAGCCCTCAGCCAAATTGATATTTATGGTTATGTGAAAACCATTTCTAACAACAAATCTAAGATGAGCAAAAATTTGGGGCCCTTTTTAGGGGAATTAGAGCAAAAGCCTTTTTTTTGTAAGTTTAAATTCATGGTCCCCTTAACTTTGGGCCAGCTTACCAAAGGCAAAAACAAGTTGGGTTTTTGTTTTTAGTTCCCTAGTTAATAAAAGTTTTTTTTTTTGGATTTTTTAACAAATTTTAAACTTTAAAAAATTTTTTTTTTTCTTTTGAAAAACAAAAAAATGGCACATGAAAAAATTTCATTTTTTAAAAAAACAAAATAAACCCGGGAAATTTGGAATTTAAAAGGGAGGGCCCAGGCTTGGGTTATTTTAACAAAGGGGCTTGCCCCCCATTTTTTATTTACATAGGAAAAAAGCAAAACACAAATATATTTAAAACCCCAAATACAAAAAACAAAACCTTTCCCCAACCAAAACCCTACCAAAGTAGCCCCCTGTCAGATAACAACTTTTTCCCGGCCCCAAAACCCTGTCCCGGGGTCTCAAAAAAGGGGTATGTCCCCCCCCAAAACAAGATAAATGTTTTAAATGTTGTTTTTTCCCAAATTAAAAAAGAAACCCCCGTCCCAAAAAAACATTTTGTTTTGGGGCCATCTATGAACCAAACCCCTTATACAAATTATCATGCAAACAATGCCACCCCAATAAAACCCTTTTTTAAAAAAAATGATGTTTTCCCCCAGTGGTCGACAGACCGGGGAAATTTGGGAAATGTTTTTATAAATGCTCCCCGGGGAAAAAGGGAAAAAACCCCTTTGCCCGTCCCCCCACCCCCGATTCAAAGGGTTTTTCTTCATGTTTTAAAACCCTTAAAAATAACAAGTTTTCTTTCATTTTGCCATATTGGGGTTTCAAAAGGTTTCAGGAACCCAAAAAATCTTTTTTTTAAAAATTAAAACCCCTTTTTTTTATACCTTAATTAAATTTTTTTTTTAAATTTTTTAAAAAAATATTTTGGCTTTTTCTTTTAAAGATTAAAATGTTTTCCCGTTTTAATTTTCGTTTTAAAAGTAAAAGAAAATTTATTGGGTTTCCCCTTAAAGGCCCCTTTGTTTAAGGGTTTTTTCCCCCAACTTTAAAGAAGAGGGGGGAAAATTTCCCTTTTCATTTGTCCCGGGCCGTTTAGTTCCCCCTAGACCCAAAAGGTTTTCCCAAAATTTATAAACTAAAGAAAACCCTTTTGGCCTAGGAAATTCAACTTGGGTTTTGGTGATTTTGGGGCCCCCTGACCAGTAGATTTACCCCTTTGATTTTGGGGTTTAAGGGGGCCCAAAAAAGGGTTAAAAGGGCACAATTGACCTTGTTAAAATTAAAAAAAAGTTTTTTCCCATCAAAAAACTAAAGCAACCCCTTTAAAGGGCCCAGGAAAAATTCAAAAATTTGTATGGGGGATTGGTCCCCTTTTACCAGCCCGAAAGACCCCTAAATTTATTTTGGGGGCAAAAGGGGCAAAAATTTACATTTAAAACCTTTTTAGGTTTAAAAAAAGGTTTCCCAATCAAACTAAAAAAACGCTTTTTTGGGGGTAGGAAAATTCCAAAATTGGGAGGTGATTGGTTCCCTGAAACCAAATAGGGGACCCCCCCAAATTTAATTTTTTGGAAAAACCCAAGGGGGCAAAAGTCATTTTTTACCTTGTTAAATTAAAAAGAAAGGGTTTCCCGACCAATAAAAAAACATCCCCCAAGTTGACCTTTGGTTTAATTTTTTTTAAAATTAAAAATAAAAAAGCTTTTGGATCACATTTTGAAAAATCCCTTTTGTAACAACTTGGGTGTCATTAAAAAGAGGGCCTGCATGAAATTCCCCAAAATTTTTGCATATATTTTTTTGGAAAAATTTTTTTTAATTTAAATTAAATTGCCTTTCCCACAAACCTATGGGGTCACAATGAAATTTTTAAATTTCCTTTTACATTGTGAAATAGTCCCCTGGGAAAAGTTTGGGTAACCCAGATAACCCCCCTTTTAATTT